AGGAAACCCACCAACATCACAGAGTTGATGTGGTTTTGTACTGAGGAATGAGCTAAAATTCCTACAAGCCGTTGTGCAGGACTGATCAGCAGTTACAAGAAACGTTTAGCTGCAGTTATTGCTGCAAAAGGGGGTCACACCAGATACTGAATGCAAAGATTCACATACTTTTGCCACTCACAAATATTTAACACCAGATCATTTAACTCAATAAATAAATGGCAAAGTATATATTTTCATCTCATTTGTTCGATTGGGTTCTCTGTCAACTTTCAGGATTTGCATGAGAATCTGATGATTTTTTGGGTCATATTTATGCAGAAATATTGAAAATTCTAAAGGGATCACAAACTTTCAAGCAGCACTTATTTATATATATTAAAAAAATTATATATATTTTCACAAAACATTCACACAAGTTTTCAAAACTTATAATAAAATCAATAAATTACATTTGAAAATATATTAAAATAGAAAAGTTATTTTAAATTGTCATATTTCACAGTATTATTGTTTTTACTTTTTTTTTTATCAAACAAATACGGCTTTGGTGAGCATAAAACATATCTTACCCAAACTAAAGTGTATATACTGTTTTTTAAATATATATATATTGTATTAATATTATAACATTAATAAGAAAAAAAACAAACAGTCTAATGGCAACCTAATCAGATTAACACCAATATTTAAAAAAAAAAAATTATATTGACCATATGGTCACCAACATATTATAAATGTTTCCAGAATTTTTGGCAACCCTAATTTTACCATTCACCATCAAATACTGTGCAATAACACAATGGTTATTAAGAAATGTGTTATGTTTTGTTAGCTCTGCAGAAGGGTTTGACAAAGGCACTCAAGAAGCTGGACGACTACCTGACCAGTCCCTTGCCTGATGAGGTAGATGCCGACAGCATGGAGGAGGAGAAGGCCTCCAACCGCAAGTTCCTGGACGGGAATGAGCTGACTCTGGCAGACTGCAACCTGCTGCCAAAGCTCCACATAGTGAAGGTGAGTTGAAGCGCTAAGGGGGACTCTCGCACCGACATCAGCGGAGATTCCTGCACGCTGCGTATCAGCCCGCGACGCTCGAGGAACGGGCGTGAGGTACTGGGTGCGGCAGACGAGGCCTCTGACGACCCCTGGATTGCCGCTTCGGGAGAACTTTGAGCAGGCTCCGCAGCTAACTCCACCCTGACGACTGAGCCGCTCAACTGCAGAGCCAGGTTGATGTAGTCCTTGGGAAATGGCGACCTCTGGTGGTGAGAGGGAGAAACACCAGACGCCAGACCCTGACAGGACTTGTCACTAGAGCTGGCCTGCAGTGTTTTGGGGGTAACCAAGGAGGCCTATAATACCTGGTCAGAGCTATCCGTTAGCATTCCCATTAATCTCAATGACAATTTTGGCGGACATTTGCACTCACGGAGGACAGTCAATGGAGAAGATGCAGTTTGCTGCCAGACATTTAGGGGGAAACTGTTAACCAGCAAAACCTCAACCCATAATAATGCAAGTTATGTGATCTTTTAAGAAAAGCAATTTTAACTTTAAAGTAACTCTTTATAGATTTTTTTGTAAATTTTGAGTCCCCTAGAGTTAAGTGAGTGGAACTGACTGCCATAATTACAGTGGATAGCTGTACACATGAATTTTTTGCTGCCGTAAAGCAATCCGTGGAATTTCGTGGAGTTTGGGGTTTGTAAGATTTTTTAAATGTTTTCAAAAGAAGTCTTTTATGCTCACAAAAGCTGCATTTATTTAAAACAGTAAAAACAGTAATATTGTGAAATATTATTACAATTTAATTAACTGTTTTCTATATGAATATATGTTAAAATGTAATTTATTCCTGTGATGCAAAGCTGAATTTTCAGCATCATTACTCCAGTCTTTAGCATCACATGATCCTTCAGAAATCATTCTAATATGCTGATTTGCTGCTCAGTAATCATTTTTATTATTATAAATATTGAAAACAGTTGCTGCTTAATATTTTTGTGGAAACTGTGATACCCTTTTCTTTCCAGGATGTTTTGATGAACTGAAAGTTCAGAAGAACGGCATTTATTTGAAATAGAAATCTTTTGTAACATAAATGTCTTTACTGTCACTTTTGATTATTTATTGCATCTTTAATGAATAAAAGCAATAATTTCTTTAAAAAGATATCTTACTGACACTAAACATTTGAACGGTAGCGTAAATATTTTAAAAGTTTAAAGAGCAGTGGTCTAGTAGTAAGCAAACATGAGCAGACATGTTAAGTTGTAATGCAATGCAAATTTGAGCCCCCTCAGTATAAATACAACAGTGCATAAACAGAAGTTAAACTACAAGGGTTACATTTGTTTTTAATTGTTTTAGTTATTTTCATTCATCTATTTTCCATCCACTTTTTTGCAGGTCGTTGCCAAGAAATATCGGAACTATGACATTCCCAACGATTTGACAGGCGTGTGGCGTTACCTGAACAATGCGCATGAGCAAGAAGAGTTCACCAACACCTGTGCCGCCGACAACGAGATCGAATTAGCATATAAGGATGTGGCTAAGAGGCTAACTAAGTAAACAGACAAACAAATTTGACACAAATAGACTTGGGGTAGATCTTTTCTTGGGGAAGAGATGATGTTTTCCATGTAATTCCATGTAAAGCTGTTGATCCCAAACTACAAGGTAGTAGATTTATTCATCCAGGGTACTGATAATCAATCATACGTTCAGTTAAGGACTGGTGCTCTGATATAATTATGAAACACCACATTTGCCTGTCTGCGAGTGCCATTACTCAAATGTGAATCCAAAACATCAGCCAATCAATCCTCACCAGCTCTCACTCATCTGTTGCTCATATAAACATTTCTAGGGCTGCAACAACTAATCGATAAAATCGATTATTATCTATAATGAAAATAATCGACAACGATTCTCATTTTTTGTCCAAAAAAAAGAGAGAAGAAGATCCGATTAATCGATTAATCGAAAAAATAATCGGCCAACTAATCGATTATCAAAATAATCGTTAGTTGCAGCCCTAGTCCCAAGCGACTTTACTATTGTATCTCTATTTAAAGAGACTTCACATGACTGTTTTCTGTTGTTCTTCCTGTTTTATAATATTTATCATATTATGCACTGATTCTTGAGACATGGAACAAAATGTCACACAACTTTAATTGCATCAGAGTGAATTAAAGATTTGTGTCACTAAAATATTTACTAGAACACATTTTCAATTTTATGTGATTCAAACGAAATGGTACTGTACATGCAGTATGACATTATCATTCACAACCTCTGAAACCACCTTCCCTCAGCCTGAAACTTAATTCTTCATAAATATTTAAATATATATTAAACTTAAGAAAAATCTGAAAAATAAATATGTAATTCAAATAATATTTTGAAGCATGTGTTACAAACATTTCAAATACGTTCAAAATTTGAGGTTGGTCAAATGTTTTTAAGTTTTTGAAATAAGTCTCATGCTGACCAAAGTGTTTAATACAGTAAAAACAGTAATATTGTGATTATTATTATTATTTAGTTTTTTTACAATATATTAAAAAAGAAAAAAAAAATTTAAAACCCCAAACTTTCAAAAGGTAGTGTAAACTTTTAACTTTTTTTGTTTAACCTATTTTGTCCCAGTACTCAAGAATTTGTGCATTACATAACCTCTCTGATTGTTTTCTATCAGTCATACATGACAGCTGAAAAAAAGCTTGTTCAGGTATTTCAAGTCTGTAAGAATTATTCACACTCACATCTCCTATGGTTTTACAATGTCTGTCAATATTGCTTTCCATTATGTTTTAATTATTATTTAGCTCTATGAATAAAATAATATTTTCACAGTTTGACTTGCATTATTTATTTTTCCCTGCGCACACATTTTTGCTAATTGATACAGTTATATGGAGCCGTTTGTAAGGAAATGGATATTTATTGTAATTGAATGATGAGTGCTAATTGTGCAGTTACATTTCTGGATTATTCTGAGTGCATTTGGACACTTAAGCCACTCAGAAAATGTATACAGATTTAAACATGAGCTTTCAGGCCATGGATCAAAGCTCTCCCTTTGCTTCCACTCTCTCATTATGGCAAAAAGCCATCCAAGCCTGTCTCTATTTTTCCTTAAAAAAGCCTCAAAAGTCTCCGAAGACCTGTGCCCGTCAGATTTACAATAGCGAATGGGACTATTTACCAGAAGTAGGAGCCATCCAGAAATAACAGAGTAGAAAAATAAATGGAGCCTGCTATATTTTTCCACACAAGAAAATATGCTATAGGTCTTGTGCCTCGCTGGTTCATAATTAGTTCTTAAACATTCTCTGCTTTGGATCTCTGCGTCCACATTCAGCGTTTCTGATAATATACAATGCGGCATTAATGTCAAACATGTCTCACTCTGGTCCAGGGTTGAACTCTAATCTGTTTGTACAGACTCAAGTGATTCACAAGTCCTCACGGAGGAGACCCTACGGAGACAGTAGCTCACTGTCTCTAGTCAATGCTCAAATTTGCAAATCAATTTTTTTTGAAGGAATAATTAATCTAAAAATAAAAATGTTGTCATTCAAACTTAGTATTATTTTTTCTACAATGAAACACAAAAGGAAATCTTAGGAGGAATGTCTCGGCAGCTCTTTTCAACACAATAAAAGTGCAGTCACAGTTAGCGCTGATCTGAGAAATTTTGTGGAGGAAATTCAGCCATTTTCATCTGTTTGTGTTCAGGAATTTTACATAAGAGTAACAAAGTTCTCTATGCAGATTTCACTCATGTTCCAGTTGGTTATGTGAATTCGCCACACTGATCAACAAAAAAAGCGCTTGGCGTGAAAGTGACTTTTGTGTGATCTGTGCTTCATACATTGCTTTATTGACAACGGACCCTTTTGCCCGCCAAATTTCGCTGAAATATCACTGATGTATGGAAGCTTGTTTTCACCATGAAATAAAAAGGGAGACTTTTTCACTAACTATTCAGACTTTTTCTCACAATTGTGAATTTATATCTTGCAATTGCAAGTCATAAACTCGTAATTGCGAGTTTACATTTGACAATTCTGACTTTTTTCCTCAGATTTTCGAGTTTATATCTTGCAATTGCAAGTCGATCGTAATTGCGAGTTTACATTTGACAATTCTGACTTTTTTCCTCAGATTTTCGAGTTTATATCTTGCAATTGCAAGTCGATCGTAATTGCGAGTTTACATTTGACAATTCTGACTTTTTTCCTCAGATTTGCGAGTTTATGTTGCAATTCGGATGGAATTGTGAGGGGAGAAAAAGAGTCAGAATTGTGAGATAATAAGTTGCAATTACTTTTATTTATTAATTTTTTTTGTTATTGTCTGGTGGAAACAAGCTTTCATTTAGACACCAATTGTAAAATGTCGCACTCAAAAAAAGACAAAAAGCAGTAAGTATCAAAAGTGGTTCACATGCCATAATATTTCAAGTTTAGTTTTCTGAATTCTTATGATAGTTTTGGGTGAAGAATAGACCACATTTACGTCGTCGTGATTCGTTATTCACGTTTCCCGCGAATATCATTCGTGTTTTGTTTTCAGTTTACAGAATGGCGCTTTATTTTCAAACGCATTTCCGCAGGAAGGTATGCTACGTTTCATAAGCAAGCGTAAACCTTTAGGACTAGTCCTTTTACAAAACCGACAGCGATTTATACATACCTTTATGTGCCACAGTCACTTTAGGCAACGGCTCTGACTGTAGAGAAGGTGTACGTCATAATCACGTGATCCCGAGTGGCGCATCCTCGAGATTTGAGAGCACTGAGGTAATTTATTTTGAAAGTTAGCTAAGAATTAAAACCAATTTAAGCCCAATGTAAAATATATATAGTTACACATTTGTATTTTAGCTAAATGTCAAAGTACCACTGAAATTAATTTTTATTAAATTCGCAAATAGACTATATTTAACACAAAACTTTTATTTTATATACACATTTCTGCTTTCAACGCTTCTATTTTTTTTTTAAAGTATGAATTTTACTTAAAAGTATGAATTTTACTAACAGCATTTGGCCCCTTCTTTTGCTATTACAGCTGACACTTATTTAAAAAAATGTAATTTTAATTTAAAAACTAATGCTGGACTATTTTTGCGATTAATGATCATGACCTTCATTTTGTTTTAAACCTTTTCTCAAGGCATGCAGTTGCAGAACATATCCAGCAGATGGAGGTATTACAGCTACATGACATTCTAATCCCATTTTGAACAACGTGTCTGTGGCACAGCCAGACACATATCTTAAATTGTACACAACTGTGTCCAAACAAAGGTTGGACTGTGAACCAGATGAACAAAGTATTAAATTACCACAATCAGTGACAGTTGAGAATGAATCAATGTTTGAATGAGTGTCTGTTAGTGTCTGAGTGACTTGACCATATAAACAACAGTCAGTCAGTTCTAAAGCTCGCAACAGTAAAAAAAAAAAACCTTGGATATCTTCAGATTTATTGAGTATACAAAACCATATATTATTGCTGAACTTCTAAGACTCTTGCGAGTCACCCTATTTAGCCTCATTTTGGTTGTATGTTTGCAGTTCCTCTCCGGATTTCAGTAATGTTTAGTTTTTAGGATCACATGAAAGTTTACTGTTGATTTGTGGTCTAGTAGAATGAACTGGTCTCCAGAATTCTGACACAAATGCATTATATCATTTTTATTAGAGCAAAGTGGAAGAAACATAAATCCGGGTTTTCCCTCACAATCGTAATGAAGTTGCCATGTGACTGACATGCAGAGGGATTTGATGGAGATTGTTGATCTGACAGGCACACGCCTGTGGCTACGGTAGAAGGCTGAAGACCTAACCAGAGGGATTTCTGGCTCTGCAGAGCTCCAGTCTGACAGACGAACTGGACATCAAAGCGGAGCAGTAGGGTTTAGTATGAACCCTGTCATACGGATCCGCTCCAGATCCACAAACACAGAGAAATCAGATACTTTTGGGGTTATTCTACAAACTGGGTGTCATTTGTATTCCTTATATACATATATATAAAAACAACAAGTCACTGAATAGCTAATGCCAACTTCTACCATGTCATTTTGTTTTTGTAAAAGCAAAAACAAAAGATTATATATTACATTTTCATTTGTTTTTCATTTGTATTATTTGTTATAGTAAAAGTATATTTAAAAACAATCATTGAATACCTACTTTTTGTTTTGCTAATAATTTTTTTGTAAGAGCAAACAAAAACCAAAAAAGATGTGTGTATATATATATATGACTTGGCTACACACACACATGCACACACATGCACACACACACACATGCACACACACACACACACACACACACAC